TCTATGCCCAGGGAAGTCGATAAATTTTTCAACCCGAAAAATTCGTAGACCGGACCGGGAATTGAACCCAGCCACCTCCAGCATGGTCTTGCTTTGTAGCTGCGCCTTTACCGACTGAGCTAAGGGTGACCCTCTAGACAGGGTCTCCATGGTAAATTAGAGGATTTACAGAGGGTTTCCTCGGAGTAAGTTCAGAGGGTCTTCAAATTACCTCCAAAAGCTTGACCAGTAAATCTCCACAACTATTCATGGACTTGTTCAGAATTCTAGAGGGTCTATTAAATGGACTTACAGCTTAGCTACAGATGTTTTTTTCTTCAGGACAAGTCTTCAGAGTAATCTCAGAGGGTGTTCAGAGCAAATCCAGAAAATCTTCAAGGCGCATAGAAAGTATTTACATGGTAAATCCAAACGAATTACAGGATAATCATAAACAGAATACCTTTATAGCTAGTAAGGCATCCATTCAAATTCAAGGGTTTCAACTTTAAGGGCTTATCTAGAGTCTGAACTTCTTCAAACTACTTCCAGGAGCCTGACCAGAAAATCTACAAAACTATTCATGGAGCTTGCATGGGTTTGTCCAGTCAAGTAAAGTTCAAGGATTTTCAAGGCAATTCTATAAGGTCTCCAGGATCAATTTGATGAAGGTTTTGATGGTCATTAGAAAGGATTTGCAGAGTAGAGCAGACAAGTCTAGGGGTCTTCAATGTAATTCTAGCACCAAGACTAGAAAATTTTCGGAGCTAGAAAGGCACCCAAATCCAACTTCAGGTTTCATCAGGGTAATTTTGGAGGATCTCCAGGACCCTCCAGGCAACCGAATATACTTTCAAGGCAGTTCCAGAAGGTCTTTTCAGGAAAGTCCAGAGGAATTACAGGATAAGTGCGAAGCACCTCAAGGAGATTGACCAAACAATTTCCGCAACGCGCCCAAAGCCAAATAGAAGCGACCCAACTTTAACGGCTTGTCCAGAGAACCGCAGAGACAAGCAGATGGATTTTTAAGGAGTGAATCCAAAGGGTCTTCAGAGAAAATCTTAGAATAAGCCCAGAAGGTCTTCAAAGCACCACCACAAGCTTGACCAGAAAATCTTTGGAACTGTTCAAGGGGTCCATCTGCATGGGCTTGTTCAGAGCAGCTTGGAGTCAAGTTCAAGAGTCTTCAGGGCAAGTCTAGAGGATTTCCAGGCCCATCAGAAAGTCTCCAAGGCGTTTAAATCCACATAAGTGTCTTCACAGCATCTTCAGAAGCCTGAGCAGACTATCTAAGCAAGGCACATAAAGCCAAGGGTTCCAACTTTAAGGGTTTATGCAGTTTGAGCTCCTTCAGAGCTATTCAAGAGCAACTTTGATGGACTTAAAAAAATAATCCAGGTAACTTTATGAGCGAAAGTCTAGAAGAGTAAGTCAAGTTGGTCTAACCTCCAGAGGGGTTTTCAGAGCTACTTACTGGCCATATCGAGAGAACTTAAGGCCCAAACGCAATGTGGGCGGAAGAGGAACGGAAAAGGAAAGTTTGACAGTTGTAACAAATGACATCCTAACCATCCAGCCCAACTAGTTTTCGATCCGACAAGTAGCCTTATTCAGATCGGGATTTTCCGCGGCCAATGCCGCTACCATTGCGCTTGGGCCTTTACTCGGTAACTCTAGAGATTATTCTAAGAACCTCCAGAATCCTGACCAGAAAATCTCCATCACTGCATTGAACGTTTTTCCAGAGAACGTCTGATTCAAGCGTCTTCAGAAGTCTAATGGACTTTCAGGGCTAGTCCAGAGGACAGTTACAGTTTCGGGAAAGTCCAGTCTCGATTTACGGACTATTTCCAGAGGATTTTTCTCAGGATAAGTCAATAGGGTCTTTAGAGTACCTTCAGGAGCCTGACCAGATCATCTCCAGAACTATTCCAGAGGCTTAACTTCGGGTGATCGTCAAAAGAATCTTATAGTCAACTTCGAGCGAATTTAGATTAATTCAAGAATGTATCCAGACTTAATTCAATGGACTATCAAGGTAGATCCAGAAAGACTTTTCAGAAAAGCCTAAAGGAATTTCAGAGTAAATCCAGCGAATCTCCAATGCGGATATAACGAGTAATTCTAGAGAGTTCCAGAGGACTTACAGAATAAGTTCAGGGGGGGGGGGGGGGGGTTTCAAAGCACCTCCAATCCGGGCCAGAAAATTTCCGCAAGTAGTAAGGTACCCAAATCCAAATTCAAGGGTGGATCTCGACTCTAAACTCTATACAAACTCTCGAGCAACTTCGAACAATTTCAGCAGTTTAAAGTAATTTTGACGGACTTACAAGGTGGTTCCGGTAGTTTCGTCACCTTAACCTCAATCTTCCTGTGCATCAGTTCTCAAAACGTTAACAACTCTAGACGAACAATTGAAATAGGCGGAACCACCAAACGTAAACAATGGCTTTAAACGCAAATTTCTCGAGAATCAAAACACATCCATGAAATCTAACACCAGCATCTGAAAGCGGATACTTCCTTTATCAAATGGCTTTGTTGATTTACCTGGGTGTATTTTGAATGTCGAGAAATTTGCGTTTAAAGCCATTGTTTACGTTTGGTTATTCCGCCTATTTCAATTGTTGGTCTAGAAATATCAAAATATTTCGTTTTAACAGTTGAAGCATAGGTAAAAAGCAGTGGCGTCACCCTAACCTCAATCTACCTGTTCAACAACTCTCAAAACGTAAACAAACAAAACAATATTGGTTCCAATGGATACAAGTCAGTGAAACTAGAAGACCCTATGCCTTTTGAAACTGATTTGAATGTAAACATGATCCTAAATAACATTTTCAAAGTTGTTGAACAGGTAAAAAGTGAGGTTACGCGACGCCACTGGTAAAAAGTGAGGTTACGCGACGCCACCGGGTTCCGAATAATGATTTCAAGGTAAGTTCAGTTCAAAATAAATCAAACGGGCCTTCAAGTTAACTCCAGATGGTCTCAAGGGCGAATATAAAGGACTTATAGGGTAGTTCCAGAAGGCTAACAGGGCAAGGACTCTGCATAGCACTTGCAGAAACTTGAACCGAGGCCGTTTTGAAAGGCCTGGTCTAAAGTACTTCCGAGTTGATTCAAGCGGGTGTTCGCCAAAAAATCTCCGGAGCTAGTATAGTACACAAAGCCTATTTTCTGGTTGTCCACCTTTAAAGGGGTCGATTAGAGAACTTCAGTTCGAGCATCTTCAGGAAAATTTCAGAGAGTTGTTCTTTGGCTTTTCCATCACAACGAGAAGTTGGCGGTTGCCTTTAACTTAGTGTTTCTTGAGCGGTTGTTAATTGAAGGATTTCTAAGCACAGTTGATATCTTCCATGCCTAGGGAAGTCACGAAATTTTTCAACTCCAAAAAATCCTTGAATTCACCGCCTTCGGCATGGTATGCCACGACTTTACTGACTAGACTATCGGGAGGCTTCTAATTCCCGAGGGTCTAGAGAATATAACTGTAACTGGGCAAGTCCAGAAGACTTTCTGAGTTAGTCCAAAGGGCTTCCAAATCAAACAGAAAATATTTATAGGGGAATTTAAAAAAAAGTTCAGAAGAATCCTGCATGTTTAGTGGAGCTACAGAGCAACTCCAGAGGGTATTTTCAGGGTATGTCTTGACAATCTCCAGAGAAAATTAAATAAGTCCTAATGTGGCAATGGATTGCCAAAGCTAGTCTAGGCGGTCTCCAGGATAAATCCAAAGGACTTCTATTCCTCATCAACTGCAAAGTATTTTTAAAGAGGGAGATGCTAAATGATCTTTTGGACAAGGCCTGACTCCATAAGACTTTCAAATGGTATTCAGGACAAATCTTGAAAACCTGCAAGGCGACTCAATATGATTTTAAGATAGCCCCAAAGGACCTTCACGAGTAAAGACGGTCTCGAGAATATTCCATAGAAATCTGGTGACAATTACAAGTCTAGAGAAGTTCCAGAACAAAATCATAGAGACACTAGGGCAAGTCCAGTGAATTTCTAAGCCTAAGCAGTACCAAAGGAATGTTCAGAGAACTTACAGTGCAACTCCAGAGGGCTCACCAGAGGGTCTTCAGGATAAGTTTGAAGAAACTCCAAAGTTAATTCAGAGGCAGAGGCCCATAAGGGCAAGCTCAGAGGAATGTTTGAGCACCAGAGATCTTCAGGGTAAATTCAGCAGACTTTGAGAACAAGTCACGGATCTTGAGGGCAAATCCAGAGCACCTATGGGAGTTTAACGCTACGACCAAGTACAAAAGTTCAGAAGACGCTTAAAGCGCCTGAAAGATAAGTTTAAAAGATTCTGAAAGAAACCCTTTGGTCCTGTTTATAAAGTTCACCTCATCTAAAATTCTGAACCATTCAACGAATTTCTCTAAACTTATCTTGAATTTGGAATAAATTGATTTAAATGTTTGGAACCTTTAGTAATTCCTTCAAGTCGTTGAATACACACATTTGTAAACCTTTATCGTTGAACATATCTACTTAGACTACCGCTTGATTCCTCAAATAGATTATTACAAGCGGCAAGGGCAGATCCAGAAGGCACACACCCAACTAAGGTTCGTACAAATTTGCAAAACAAATCGGCACCACTGCGAACACATCGAACGGTTGTGTGTGACTCATAGCGAGCCGAGCCGGGGTGTAGAATATAGGCACACACGTTTCTGCTCGGAGAAGGAGACAAGGAACTGAATCAACACCAACCAACGGACAGCGGCAACGGCTAAAAGCAGCAGCAGCAGCAGCAGTAGAGAAGATCCCCATTTATGGAATGTTGTTCTCTGGCGCTGTGGCTGGCCGGGTGTTGCCTCCTATATCCGAGGTGGCGATCCGAAGGTTGATGGTTCTGATTTAGTTTGTTTTAGCATAGTAAGCGATTTACGGGTTCATGTGGGACTAGGACTGTGAGTGAGGAGAATTAAATGCGTTCTAGGGCGCCTCTGGCAGCACTTCCCACGGAACCAACTGTCAAAATCCATTCATGTGTGGGGACTTACCATCGCTTCGTTTGATGTTGACTATGCTTCCCTTCTCAAATAGATCCATCTTTGACGGGACGAGGTTTGGTCGTTCTCAGCAGCAGCAGCACAGGGCACAGGCTTTTTTTGTTGGTATCTATTTTTCCGTAACACTTTTTTCCGCTTACTCGCACACACTTTCCTGTCGATGGTTGTTTCTTTCTTCTTGGAGTATCACACAAACACAGCTCTCGAACTGCTTCTTTTCCTACACTGCTCCTCAACTACGATGGGTATACGATTTTTGCTTCTTATTTCGATTTATCCAACTTCTCTTCTCGGATGTGGGGTGCTGCACTGAAAATGCAATGGCTGGAACTCTTACAACTTCTTGTGTACGAGCAAACAATGATTTTTCACCGCTGCTGTTGACACACACTGACACATTAAAGGAATTACAGCGATAAAAAAAAACTACTATTCAAACGACTCCAGCTGGATTTTGGACGGCGCCCAATGCATTGAACCGATTCTACGGACAAAGCATAAACAGACAAAAATTGAGCACACACGAGAAAAATTTTAAACAATAGATCTATAAATACAAGCGGAACTGTCAACCGTTGTTAGGCTCGGAATTTTCACCGAGCTTACTTGGGTTCCGCTTAAAACTTAAACTTCACAGACAAAAGGTATTCCATGAGGAAACACATCCAGCTCGATTCGTTTGCTTCAGCCTGTTTTTTTTTTGCACAAAAGAGCACCACCGACCACCAATCATCCCCACACAAAACAATGGCCTTTGGTAGACGGCCAGATTCCCTTTTTGTCGTCGCCTTCGTCGAGCGGCCGCGTGTGAGTGTCCACCACCAATACTTCTCCCTACCGCCCTGTCACAAACGGCGAAAATCTCCTCCAGCCAGGTGGATGGAAATTCCGCTACTTTGGCTTACTCACAGAGTAACTCCACTGTGTCCCACTTCCGGTCTGTCGTCGGAGTCACTTTTCTACACGTAATGCACTGGCGGCGGCGGGGAGAATCCCGAGACACACCAAAGAACACTCACCTCCGGGGCGCTCCGGGCAAGGAAAAATCAGGAACGCAGAAAACTGAAACTAAAAATCGCCGGATCACAAAAGAAGGAAAAACGCGATCGGAGATTTTCCTTTCCGTTGCCACACACAAAACACTAAAGGTAAAAATATACACCACGCACTGAATTATTCGGTTCGAGAGTCCAGAAAAAGTTGCGGATTGATGGACGACTGTTTTCTTCTTCCCCGTGAGCAAGTAGAGCGCTGCTGCTAGAGCTAACTGGTCCAACAGCGAGGCGTTTCGAATGAAGAAAATCAGCAGCTAGCAGAACTAGCAGTAGCATATGCGGATTTTGTTGGATGGATTTTGTGTGGATACCAGAGATCTCACGCACACACCGAACGGGATGCAACGCACACGGGAGCCGTTGTTTCGGTTTTTTGTTTCAAAAGGCGAACGCAGTTGCGGTAAGATTGCACAACTACTGGCACAGCAAAAAATAACAGCAGTCGGGCGTTTGACAGTAGTTCCGTGGCCGTTTAAAATTTTAGTTGATCGATTCCACCAACCGAGGGGTAAGACAACAATTTTGGACACAATCGCAGGTTTTAAAGTTTAATAGGGAAATATCAATCAAATGGTATAAAAAGAAGCACTCTGGTCATAAAAACAAGATAATAAATAAAGTATTAAGGGTTCTACACATACATTAAATAGAAAATAGCTCGTTCTCCATACTTTATAATGTTTTCAATTTCATACATATTACGTATTACGTCGTGATACCGTATTTTATGCTGCCCCTCGTTGAGCTTAGATGGATTCTGCATGTTTGACATTCGGTGAAAATAATTTTATCGACGAAGAATGCAGCACACGCTATTTCAAAACTACCCAAATTTGAGTACGATCCAATTATATCGATCAAAAGTGAAGCTACTCAAAACATGAGCTGGTGTTTGAAGCAGAAATGTTGTTAACAAGAGAAGGGCGATATTGAGAAATCCAACTTAAACTCCTGCGCGCCTGGTAGCAGGAATAAGCACTAACCGACGGTGATAAGTATGTGACAGCCCTTGACAATTTCATTGATTGATTGCAAAATTGTTTAATTTCAATGTAATTTCATGCAAATTTCTTGTCAGCATGGCTGAAACTTGTACAAAATGCGTAAAATTATTTTGTAATGCATTGTTCCTAAATAAAAAGCTACTTCAAGACAGTTAAATTACAGAAAACATGTTAAGGTTTGAAATCATCTGCCGATTAAACAGCAGACAAAGTTGGCCGACTAAATCCATCGACGAAAAACTATTAAATAGGCCGATTACTCGGTGTAACACCAGCCGAAAAACGATTTAATCTGCTGATTAATACACCGACTGAAATTAATTTTTAGGTGGCAATAGATTTAGTCGGTGGACGAATCGTGTGATCTGGATGATGTTTGTTTATTTGGAAGATATTTTCGAAACAAAGCATGATAAAATTCTGAATTAATTACCATTATTACGAGTACTACTTTTTTGCTCGGATCATGTTTTGACTCCCAGAGAAACTCGCTAGAATAAATACAAAATAATAGTTTTTTGGTTAAAATTTCAAAAATGTATTCAGTTTGACGCATTATTTCGGACTTATCACCGCTGCGATTGCAGCGCCACGGTGGCCGATTGAAACTTGGATTTGTCAATTACGGTAGTACAACTTTCGATAGAAATTGCTGACGTTTATCGTACGCACACTACATCACGTATACGTATACGCAAAATGTTTTCATCGGGAAAAAAAACTTCATAGAGTTCTCCAGATGCACAAAAGTGTGCGTGAGACCGCGCGCTACCTTTTTAAGTAGTTGTGATATCGCGATACCTTTTTGTTTCTTCTTCTTCTTTATTTTTATGTATGGATGTTGGATTTTAGTGTTCGTGAGATTGCGCTTGGAGATCTCTAAAGCGGAAAATTTTCCCGATGAAAACAAATCACTGACACAATTGGAAGATTGCCGTAAAAGCTCAACGCAGATGTCGCCACTGCATGATGATGATAATGTTGACAGACTGCATATAAAATTCGTGAAAATTAGCGTTAAATCATAATTTTCATCAAGCCTGTGTAAAATTCTTCCAATATAACATTCGAATTGCAGAAGAAAACGTTTTTACGATCAGACTGATGTGCAACTTTGACTTTTCCAGTTGAACTTTCATAAGATATATTCATTTCATTTCGCGGCTCTAACAATGCTGCATCGTAAATATGATGTAAACAGAAGTAAATTGCTCAATTACTCAAAATAGAGATGATTTGTCATCTTGCTATCACTTTGAAGACCATCTAGCACCATTTTATAGTATGGTGCGTGTTGAGTAAAGCAAGTTCCGTTGCGTTTCCCGTCGAAAATTGTGAGCATCAATATGTTTGCTAACAAAAGGCCAAAATGAACATTTATTGAATATTGGCGTCCTATACAACCAATCTCCATTGCCACCAGCATGATACAACCTTTCCTAAGTAAATTCACTTAATTTCCACTTTCATCCTAGTGGAAATCGCACATATTCACCATTTTCCGAAAAATGCCTCTGAGCAGGAGGTAAGCTCTCCCTGTGGGTGCAAACTTGTTATGCATAATTTTCCATGAAAACATCTCAGATCCATACCGAAATAATAACAGTTAGTTTGCAAACACATTTTCTTACACGATTCAAGCAAAAGTTTCCACGGGAAATTATTAGTTTTTCTTTATGTACCGATTTGCCCCAAAAATCGTCTGTTTTACTTGAAGAATTTGGAAACTATCCTCCTTCTAGTAGTTCTTACTTCGAAATGTAGGTGGCGAAAGCATGGAAAAGTTTCACTGCAAGACGCCAATCATACTTTAGCAATCTCTATTCTATACTGCGAACGAAAGACGTGAAGTCACAGAAAGCAGCTGTTTTGTGTAAAATGGTAAACATTACGATGAAATCCGAAGTAAATTGTGTTTAGGGCGAAACTAGGAGAATGTAAACAAATGGAGAAAAACCAATGCTATTGAATTTACGATCGCACATGCAGAAAAAAATATTATCGAAATAAAAATATGTAAGGTATATATAAACGCTAGGGGCATCCCACTCTAAACTTTAGTTCTAATATCAATTAAATATGTTTAAATCGGTCATACACACAAAAAATAATCGTTAATAAAATTAAAAAAACCATTGGTAGAAATAAAAGTTCGCGTTGGTTCTTTTTGGTAGAAAGCGGTGTGCTTTCAAAACGACAGTCAGCCAGCTCTCAAATTAAAAGCTTTTATTATTGTTAATTTTAAAAGTTGAAACTTTCAAATTGAATTGTAGAACTGTCAAACCGAAAACCTAATGCTTTTAGATTGGCGTTTCAAAAGTTTTGATTCAAAAGACGGACATTATATCCCAATTATTTAAATTGTCATTTAAAAAATGAATAATTATTGATTCAATTGCTTTTATGCTTAAAAATAATGAAACCCATATTAATGTTTATTATTTAGTATTTTGTATAATATTTCTGTTTTTCATTGAGCTTCAGCAAGGGCTACTCAGGCCAAATCTAACTACAGTGAACAGATATTCGTCGGTGGCGAATGACGTTGGGAAGGCTTCCCCCTAGACGCGCGGCTCCGCCTTGCAGTGGGCTCGAAACGAATGTGCACTCTGCATTCGCTGCTGACCGACAATTAGCATTGGTCTGGTGTGGATCGGGAAACTTCATATTACCAATTGCTTACCGCTTCCCTTCGTTGAACCATCTTCGATTACTTTTCCATTGGGTCATACAGATTAATCTTCCTTTTTTGTTTTGAAAACCTAAAAAGACCAAATTGAAAGATTTTGTTTAAACTAAGTAAATTAGCAATAAGTAACTGTATTGTTGAACTTTTACCAATAAGGGTCAATGATGTGACGAAGCGTTTTACGTTTTTTTATAACTGACATCATCCCAAATTCGTATATGTACGTATCCTGATAGATACTCCAAGCATTTCTGCTGCTTGCCTCAGATCTGTAGGATGCATCGTCTGTTTTGAGCCCAACCAGGAATAAACAGCAGAGGTTGGGACATGCTTCAGCTTCTTCGGTAGATGGCGGAGCATTTTCGTCACGTTGTCCTTATTCAGATAATTGTTATGATGCAAATCTAGAAGCAGTAGTATTTGTATGGTTAGAGATAAAACAGGGGCCTCATTGGGGAAGTCGAAACGGATCATTTTTCGTATGAACGCTTGTATGAAATCAGTCGTTTCGTCTTGCCTCCAGGTGTTCAAATCGATTCCGATTCGAAGATCTCAACACTTACCGCATTAGTTGAATTCAGGCAGATTTATGAAGAGCAGAATAAATTGTTAGCCACTTCTTGATGACTTCTATGATCCTGAACACTTTACCGTAAATTCAGAGTAATTTTCTCCTCGGTTGTTTTTAAATTTAGCGGCAAATAAAGGTCCAGTGCTGCCAAATACATTGCTAAGAAGTGGTATGTTTGACAGTTGTACAACTTTTATTTTAAAAAATGTAAAAGTTCATTTTTTATATATGTAGTTAATAAGTGAAAGAAAAACTTTCAAATCAAAGATGTTACTTTTGTTTTGAATATTTTTGTTATTAAAGGTACGAAGTTTTGCAAACTTTTTAAAATAAAAGTGTATAATTTTTACCATAACAATTTTTGTTCTTTGTGTGTAAGTATTCTTAAGTATTTTTAAGTATTTTCAATCCTGGATAGTTTTCATCGTAGTGACCGGTTGTTAGTAAAGTTATTTATTGTTTTAACTTGGACGATTTATGACTTTTCGTCTCGAATTAAGTGGAATTTATACTAATTTTCCCTGTTTTAATTTAAATTATATGTGTAATCAAGTTAATTAATGGGTAAGTATTATAATTTGATTTATGAAATAGTGTAACAAAGTAAACAATTTTTTAGCTAACCAGGTAGAATATTCACTGGACTGTTTTCATTCATCCGATTCGAATTACTGATTTATTCTAACCTATTCTTACTGACTGTTCCATGCGCTACCAAACATTTAGATTCCGAAGGCATTAAAGGACGTCAAACGGGCATTATTCTAAGCTGTCCAATAAAATCACCAAGGTCTTAGAACAAGAGTTTCCTTCATATTATTTCGCATCAGAATTTTAAAAGTTTTTGACAATGCTCAAGCAGATCAAATCAACCGAAGCTATGATGCTCATTTGCTAGTGAGCCACGATAGTGAAACGTACCATTTACAGTTGCTGCAGCTGAAACTATTCGTTGGGATGGTGGACCTCCCCATACTGCCACTATTTGAGGA